CTGGCGCGCGCACGCGCGCCAGGCCGCGGGGCTCTCGGAGCGGGGCGGGAGTGGCTCAGCCTCAGGTCCCGGGGCGCTTCCAGTCTGCGTCTGTGGGGACCCCGCGACGCCCTGCTCTGAGGCAGGAACAACCGGCTTGAAGTCTGGAGCTCAGGTGTGAGTGCGAATCCTGCCTCCTCCTACCGGCGGCCGTGGCCTGCGGCCCTCTCCATAGCTGCTTCCCCCGGCGCATCTAGTTTTAAGAGTCCGTTTTTTTCTGTTTCTCGGCTTTTGAACGGTCCTCTCCCAAGACTGAATTCCGATTCACTCCGCACCCCTTTCTCCTTTCCGCCGTGGCGTCTGCGGTGCGGTGTCCTCGTTTTCATAACCGCTGCCTCGGTCCCCCATCAGACACAGACCTAGGACTTCTGGACGTTGAGGATGCTTCTAGTTTCTGAAGTGCTCTCATGAAAATCTTGGAAAAGTGGCAGATCTTGAATTTTCCAAACGGCCGGAGACACATGGCATCCGGGAGAGAGTCTGTACCACACTTATTTTTGCTAAAAATATAAACATGTTTGCGCTTTATTACCCAAAGTGACCTAAATGATGGTCAAAAGTTATCGAAAAGAAAAATTCACAACACTTGCATTACAAATTCTCCTCTCCAGATTTCTGTATGGTCACGTTTCTTTGCACAGTTCACTTTGGGGAATTTAACTGTTTAAAGAATTTTTTAAATTTATCTCTTTTTCTGCTCAAATTTAAGCCAAATCACCCCAACAGTCACAATGTTAAGTTCTACAAAAAAAAAAAAAATCAATGAATCAAGTCTTATTTATCCTATCGAATGTGGAATGTGGATTCAAAGAGATTTGGTATACTCCATGATGATTAAAAATCTGGCAGTGGGCATTGGGGGAAGGAAAATAGACTGTCCTAGAAATTCTGCCGGAAAAATGAAGAAGGCAGACAATGATGAAAACCATGATATATTTTTCCTCTTTTGAAATATCTAAAACATTTTAGTTATAAATTCAGAAGAATGCATTCTTAATGGCCTAGTATTTGTGGGCAAATAAATGGAAGTCAATGATAAACTTGGTAAAAATGTGTTCCTGAAATATACGTTCACCCCAACTCTCCAATTATACTTCTGACTAGTAGCCTTAACCTGCTTTAACTTCAGAACTCTACTCATCATTTCTACCACTATTCAAGGCATTTGTTTCCTGAGTTTCTTATCCTTGTAATGTT